ACGGAAAAAATTTCTATAATTAACTACAAAAAAAATTGACTTGAAATAGAAATTTGTAGAAATTTTTATATCTTCGTTGAAACATTTATTTTTTTTTGTAAAAATATCTACGAAATAGTACCACGAATTACAATGTTCTCAAATCAAGAAATTATTGCAGGTAGTATTTCATGAAAATGTACAATTTTGTAAAAATTAGTATAAAACTGTACTAGTTTGGATTCTGGTAGTAATATTTTTTTGTAGAATTTTGTAGAATTATTTCCGGCACGGAAAGCGGAGACTTTATGTCGATAAAATCGTGCACGACTATAAACGCGCGAAGCGAGTGGTTCGACGCGTTCTACACCCTTCCGTGCGAGCTTTCGCCCTACAATCCCCCGCGGCGACGCTTTTTACGGTGACGGACGACTCCTGGAGGCGTGTCGACGTATATGCGACGGAACCGACAAAGGGTGGGCTCGCGTGATCGAAGCTCGGGGTAGAAGGACGCCCACGGAAGTCACGAGGTCGCGCAATCGCAAAGACACCCCCCGTGCCAGCGCCGATTTTGAGAGGGAAAGGTAGTCCATCGTCGAAATCAGGACCTCGAGAGGTTCGCAAGGAAAATCGTAAAAGGAAAAGCGATGACCGCGTATCGTTGGTGACAACGTCAATCTTTACAAGTTTCTTTTTTTTTAACTCCCTTTCCAAATGTATGCAGCACCTCGTGCAAGGAGTTTGTAAGTAAATCTACTTTACATGTGTTCTATTATACAGAAATTATTTTCTCAAGTTTTTTTATAGAAATTCGGAGAAGCCCCGCCACAGGTAAGACAGGAAGTCTCAAGCTTTAGATATGAACTTTACATATTTTGAAATATTATTTTATATTATTGCATATTACGTATGGTTGAAGATTTAGTTAAAATTAGAAAAGTCCCAGGTTGAACTGAAATCTTGGTAGCATATTTTTCAGATTAAAATTTTTTCATTTTTGTTTTCAATTCGGTTCAGTTCCATTATAAAAGTTTTAGTTGTGCTTTTATACAGTATTAATATAAAAGAAAATAACTGAAAAAATTGCAAATCTCAAAAAGTTTGCTATTGTAAAATTAATATTTTATTTATCCAGGATTTTTAATATACACATATAATATAATGTAGTAAATTAATATTTGTTTTATTTGATGAATAGACCTCTCTCTTTTTCTCTCTCTCTCTCTCTCTCTCTCTCTCTCTCTCTGTTTTTTTCTTGTTTCTCTTCTGCGGGAAAAAAATACATGCAATTACAAAACTTATAATCTTTTGTAAAAATTGGTACAAAACTTTGCTAGTTTTAAAAATTTGAGAAACAAAATTTTAGAGAATTAAAACATCTGCTTACTTGTAGAATATTACAAAAATTAACAAAAGTATTTCAATTCTAGTATTTCCATGTTGATTTTTATAACACTTTTTAAATTTACGTAGAATTTCTTAGATTCTGATAGTTTTTTTTTGTTTATCTCCGACAGGGAACCTAATCTGTGAAATTAATAATTTTACAAATAAAAAGAAACTAATAAAAAATCAGCTCTACACGACACACGAGGATTCAGATCTTCCTCACGGTTGAGGCAGATTAACGCACCCTGCGATTTGCGTGCGGCATGTGAGTATCCGGTGCGTCCGCGCGGCCACAATACTCGATACAGAAATCAGACAATTTCTGACATTCATTTGCCGCATGGCTTACTTACGGCGGTACACCCTTTTCGGTGGCGTAACGTCGACGCGTATGCATGGCGGATTTTATAGGCATCAGCCATGCGCATAGAAAACATCGTGCCATCTGTTACCCCGTGGTCAGGTGGAAAATTTAACAATCGTCGCGATGCATTAGGGAAATATCGCACTTTGATCGATCAGGCCTTTATGCGAGCCCCGAGTTCGACGTATCTGCACGCGTGAAATACGCCTGCACGAATAAACACGCGCCCGTTCCGTGGCACGGCGAGAGCCGATCGATTAAATCGCTCCTTCAAACGATCGCCGGGGAAATTGACCTAATTCGTAGCTAAAACGCGAATAAATGGAATCTTTGACGAGAACAGATGAATTGATTAGCGATATGAATATTGTTGTAATGAAACGAACGCCTTAATCACTCGGCTATACAATATTCTTCGGTCGAGGTAGGTTCTTTTTATAATATATTGTTATACATATACGATAATTCTAATATACCAACAGTGCAGGAGAGTAATGTCAATTAAAAGAAACAATTTCGCTGTAGAATACACCTAATTAAATAAAATGAAACTACAATAAAATAGACCAATATCGCGTTTTTATATAATTTCTGCGTTTCTTCCCTTTTAACGCGTTTTGTTCGCCGTGTGTGTGTGTGTGTGTGTGTGGATTAAGCATAAAGAATTATCTAATCAGAATATTCTTCAATTTCGCCAGCGGCAATTAACGTCAGTGTTTCCTTGACCATACCCGGCACTTTTAATAATACAGAAAATCTAGTGCGAAAAACCCTGGCTGGGGTAATATTTTTGGCAACAAATTTTCTGTATTATTAAAAACGCCAGGTGTGGCCGGGAGAACCCTGACGTTATAAAAAGTTATGTATAATCGGTGGAAAGTAAATCGAGACCGAGAAGAGCCCTTCCATAATCAAGACCGCGGTCTTTACGATCTACGCGCGTTTAATGTACATATAATATGTACGCGTGCAATCGATCCGCACGGTCGGGTGCACGCGCGGGCTTAGGGGAGGAGTAAAAGGGAAGAAATATAACAGAAATGATGGGCGGGTAAGGAGAACAGAAGAAATATACGCGAATGATCCCGGGCAAGATTATAAAATGGCGTCCCTCATCCCCGTGACCGTTCTTAATTTCGCCCGGCTCCTTTTGTCCTCGCGCCTCCTTCTTTCCCTCCGCCGCCGTCCCTCTCGTCTCGCCTCTCTCCTCGCCCGGAGAGGAAGTAGACGTTATCCTTCCTTGTACGGCGCGCTCCGCGTTGCTTACCGAATCCCGGGGAGGATCAGCGGCTCAAAGGGACTCCCGAGGGATGACTCTCGAATTCTTTTGCGCGACAATTCCGATGAATACCGGCGCGACGCATTAATAAGCCGCCGCGGACCAGCGTTGAATTATTAAGGGTAGACAACACACTTCGGGGGTTTTTAATGCTCGACGAAATGAGGTTGGTCTGCCCCCGCTTCTTCTTATCTCGCTGCAATCTATATTGCAATAATCATGCGCAATTCTCACGTGACTCTTCAGCGCTACTTGTCTTTAATAAATAGTGCCACAAATATCTTTCCCACCTTAATCCCTTGAAGCACGGTGGTAACCCACTCAACTTCTTTACTTTCTGGCCATTTCATTTCTAGTTAACGCATTTAGGTCGAGTTTTTTGCATTTTTTGGGTATCTTGGCAATAAGAGAACATAAAAAATGTATGCGTCAAAGGGTTGAATGACATACCTATACTTTTACAAACGACGAATTCAGATATCACTTCTCTCTAAGAATCAACCAGTAAATTATCACTGAAACAGCACTGCGACTTTCAGTGGCATACTTATAATTGCAAATCAGCGATTATTCACTGTTTTCAGTGATAATCCACTGATTGACTTTCAGAGAGTTCACACTCCTCTATGTAACGATTAATTTAAAACAATAGTATTCTTACAAACTTAAAGTATTTCTGTACAAATTCAAGTGTCATATAGCTAACGCTCTTAGTGAACAACGTCTTTGGGTGTCAACGCTCTATCAGTATTAATGAAACTGGCACTTGCACGTATCTAAACGGGCGTCGTCAAAACTCAGCGCCTCTTCCCCAAGACGTACGGTCTAACTTTGAACAACGCACGGATAAAAGACGTAAACGTAGACGATCGGATTACATTCGTCGGCGTCTTACTGCCAGACACTCTCCGTCCGAAAGGATTAATATCGTCCACCATCAGCGAACATCAGATGACGACGACAGTCGCCTCGCCTCGCACTCTCGCCTCCGCGGATCCCTCGTCCTCTCGTCTTCCGCGCGCCGAGGACACCCAACAGCACCCCAGCAACGCGGTTCCCGAACTCGTACGGCGTTGGTGGCGCGCGCCATATTGGGGGGCGGTCGGGCGTCCCTCCAATCGGCACCCGCCAGACGCTGGCGTGGGTGCCGACCGCACCCAATAATCCGGGCACTCGCCCCACCAATCAGCCGCCACACCCACGAGTGTCACGTGCGCACAAGCAACATCGTTGCTGGCGAACTAGTCGTGAGCGTGCCCTCGTACTGTGCTCGTCGCGGCGAGCGCTACACGTCTTGCCTATTGTCAAGATATTCAATAGTAGTGTTGGTGCGATAAGATAAACTTGACGTATAGTCCCGACTTGTTTGCTCGGATTATCGGAGCTTTGCGGCGAGTAACACGTCAACGTTATTCATAATTTCGACTTGGACCAAGTTCCGACAAACGATTCCGGTCATGCGTGTTGAGGAGCTCGTCTCGTACGGTTTTCGTCAACTTCGAGGGTGTCCGATTAAAGAATAGACTGCGGTGTGTCTCAGGATGGATTAAGTGCCGATGTAAATTTAAATTTAAGAAGCTTGCAGCTACCGGAGGCTATCGATGAGAAATCCACGAGAAGGCTTCAGCAAAATGTGTCCTCTCGTTCAGGAAGTAACGACGAATTTGTTGGAGGGAAATTTTCGCTTAAATGCCCGAAGTTTGAATTCCACCTAGACACTTTGCCCTTGGAACAAGGAAGCCTGGAATTTCCAAAGATACCATTACTCCGCTATCTAAGTAACCTTAAGTTACCAGCGGGAAGATATCGCGGGTATTCTTTCTTTTTTTCCTTTGAAACGTTTTCTCGATAAAGAGAATCGCGATTGCACGAGCGAGAAGAAAAATAGAATCGATATGTCCCGATGTGGCGCGGGGCGACGCGTTCGCTGAAGTCGCGGGAGCGCGTAGATAATAGCGGCGAGTGTGAACGCACGCGGAAGCAGCGTAAACGCGGGTAGCAGTTATGACCAAGATGAGACTCGAGTTGTTGGGATGCGACACTCTTCCCCTGGAAGGGGTGTACCGCTCGCAGCGGCACGACGTCCTGACGCCGCAGAGTAGCCCGGAATCGCGCAGCGTCCGCCAGGAACAGCGCAGCGGTGCGAGCAGCGATGTCGGTTCCGCGACATCGCAAGGTGACATGTATCCGCTAGATCAGTCCACCTTCGAGCTCGATCATCTGCCTCTGCATATCCCGACGATCCTTCATTGTAAGTTCGCCGAACGGTGGCGTCGTGAGACCGTTGAGATCATCTAATGTTCCTAGAGAACTTGACTTCTCCTGTAACTTTAATTTTCTCGACGGAGCACAAACAACTTTAATCATGCTATTTTGTTGGCACAAATAATACGCAGCGCTCTTCTCTGTTAATATCGCGAAAATTATCATCTCGGTTTAATCTCTTTAATCTTCAATATACTTAAAGAATAATTTAAAGTTCGAAATTTACGAAAATTGGCTTGAACGAATGGCAGACATTAAGCTCCGCGTTATACATTGTGCTAGTGTTAACACGTAGAACTTCACTTTGAGTATATTTTATTAAACGAAATAGTAAGTAAAAGAGGGAATTTATTCATTAAAACAAGTTAAAATATTATATAACTGTGCAGAGTAATCACTTTTTGTTTAGATGTTAAAATTGCAGAAACATTAATAAATTGGATCATCTTCTAGAACGTTGACGCTATTGCAGATATTCATGGTGACATTATCTACAATTGAGATTGCTCTTCAATATCATATTTCTCTTATCAAATATTGAACCTATAATAAAACTGTACAATAAAATAACAATAAATTTAATAGATAAAATATAAAGCTATGAGAGGTCAATGACAAGTAGGCCGACGAATAAATGCTATATGTTGGTGATATCAAAAGATCAAAATAACTTACAGTTTTAAAGAGACATACGTTTCGAGATCTTTAATATAGTCGTCTTCAGTGTACCGTAATTAAAAACTGAGAATCATGTCAATGCAATGTGATATAAAAACCGGGGTTGGGAAGTAATTTCGTTACTTTCTCTCGTAACTGTAACTTAACTCACTTACCTTAATAATTACTTTATATATATTTTAAACCTCCACACAGATCGTATTAGGCCTTGCATTTGTCCATACATGCCATTATCGACACTTTCCAATTCAAATGCAGACTCGATATTTTTATTTTCATCGCAAGAAAGTACCTGCAAAGTAACGATTCGTTACTTTGTGAATAACTGTAACACGTTACTTTTCAGAATTGGTACTTCGTAACTGTAACTAGTTACATTTTTAGCAAAAACACTGTAACTAGATACTTTTATAAAGTAACTTTCCCAACCCCGTATAAAAGCGCTATATATATATTTATATTGTTGAGAAATAAAATAAAGTAAAAGTGTATTAAAAAACGCAGATGTAGTTACAGAATTCAGTAAAATATTAAATTATTATAATATGTGCATAAAACTATTTCTCTATACCTATACTTTTATAAAAGTATACTATAAAAACTATACCTATACTTTTTATACTTTTCATGTGTATATTATTAATACGTATAATATGAAAAGTATAAGCGCATAAAGGTATATTATTTCACCAAAGTCGAAACATACGCGTAGACAACATCTATATACTGTTATTGCGACAAATATTATCATATGCCTCGATGGTCGAATTGGTTGAGACGCCCGCCTAGAGAGAAGGGAAGTCCAGGTTCAAACCCTGGGCTGTGGTAATATTTTTCGCAATAAATTTTCTGCGTTAAAAAAGTATATAGCCAGTCATGGTCGATTAACTGCTTTGCTTAATCATGTTGATTCATCTGCTGGCGTCAAATGATTCTTAATGTTATATTATTATATCATTAACAGAGGAAAGTCTCCTATTACGAGATAGGCTCCTAATCTGAAGTAGAGGAGTTCCTGCTAAATGAATAGGTTCCAATGAATTTATCGCCTTTGAAGTAAAATCTGTTTAGTGGAAAAGGTGTAATCGTTGCGCAAAAAGATTTGTGATCAAATTTCGATGTCGAAAACCTGCTGTCTCATATTAGAAGCCTATCTTATAATAGGGGACTTTCCTCCACTAATCTCTTTTTGTACTGTTTCTTATACATATTGTTACATCCGTTGTGTCGACCGACGTGTTGCAGCTACGATACCAAAATGCGGCGGATGTCAGGAAGTTATTTTGGATAAATACGTTCTAAGGGTCCTAGAGAGGTGTTGGCATGCAAGGTGTCTCACGTGTCGGGACTGCGGTGCCAGATTGACCGACAAATGTTTCGCGAGGAACGGCCACGTGTTCTGCAAAGACGACTTTTTCAAGTAAGCACCAATAATTGCTGTGACAACCTTACTTGCGTACATGCACGTGCAAATATTTTCAAGATATACCGTAGATCGTGCATTTGTGATACATTTAATGCAAATAGAGAAATTATCCTTGTACACGAAGAGCTTGTTTCTCGGATGGTTTATTACAATTTATCCGAAATATTTATTATTGGTCATTACTCTTCTTAATTTATTTCTTGTCTTTATTATTCTTAATATTACTGCTTGCATAAATTTATTTAAAAAATAACAGACAGGTCTTTCCATCTTTCGCAATACTATTTGTTCGACTTATCCACTTATCGATAATAGCCAATCGATAATCATGTAATGAAACGAAAGAATATTATATTTCTAAAACATATACAGGAACATCGGGTATTTCGGTATCGATTCCGGAAAAATTTTTTCCTTACAAGATAAGATACCTTTCTTTTCTTTGAAAATCTAGATTCGTTTTCTTTTTCATTTTTTCTACAGATTTTCTATTGAATGAAATGTTAAACTATCGCAGAATTATTTTAAAATCACATTTTGCTGCCGTAACTATAAATTTCTAGTCTACAGCAAAACGGTTTGCTGTCGCACCAATACATAGAGACAATAGCAAAGTGAAAGATGTTCATATATTATACTACAACTGAAATTTAATTACCACGGCAGCTTTTAGCTACGGCAACTTTTTCTCCGTGAACCTAATTAGAAATAAAGTAAAAAATATACCAGCATAATAAATAATTATGTAATTATAATAGGTACAAATTAGTGGGGGCGCGTATTGTTTCTTGCATCCGCGTCGATTATCAGACTTGACGAACATTATGCCAGCTACATAATTTTGTCATTGATGTGTGAATGTAATGTGAAAATATTGTATGTTGTTGGTGTGGCAGGCGTTTCGGGACGAAATGCGCGGGCTGCGGCCAAGGGTTGGCACCTTCGCAGGTGGTACGAAGGGCGCAGGAGTTCGTCTACCACCTCACGTGTTTCTCGTGCGCCCTTTGCTCTCGGCAGCTGGACACCGGCGACGAGTTTTATCTCATGGAAGACAGAAAGCTCGTCTGCAAGCCCGATTACGAGCAGGCGAAGGCGAAAGGTAAGACGTAATCTTTGTGTAACCCTTTAGACTTTTGCCAGCGCTCCCGCAAGAAAGGATTCCTTCTTTCTTTATCAGAATGCAATTGTTCACAGTCTGCAAGTCTTTTCTCAGAATTAATTTGAAATAAGTAGCTTCCACCCTTAATCTTTCACACTATTCTTGATACTTTCACATTTCTCTCTCCTTGACAACAGAAACGACACGAGGAATCCAAGTTAAATAACGTTTGAATATTTCTAATACTCGGGATTATGGTTGACGAATTGCCGATTGATTATAATATTATAATTAGTCATCAAGTGCCGATGATTACATCTGTGAAACAGTTTATTTTGATAAACTCTTCCTTAAAACCACTGTGGTAAAATGTAAACTTAAATAAAACTGCTAGCCTTGGTCGATCTAATCCTTGAGTATTTTTGATATTTCTTTCAGTTCAAATTTCTGCTTCTTTTTTTAACTTAACATATTTTATATTATATTATATGATTAATTAAATAAAGATCTCCAAAACGTACGATGCGTAATCTGTGCGATTTTCAGAACTGGCGGATGGGGGAAGCATAGACGGCGATCAACCTAATAAGAGGCCGCGGACGACGATCACGGCGAAGCAGCTCGAGACTCTCAAGCTGGCGTACAACACCAGCCCGAAGCCGGCGAGGCACGTGCGAGAACAGCTGTCCCAGGACACGGGCCTCGATATGCGCGTCGTCCAGGTCTGGTTCCAGAACAGGTGAGAAAAGTTGGACAGTCGAGCTTACGGGGTTTCCCATATCCCGAGCTCTTCATGCAGAGATACCTTATATTACAATTCGTCGAGCTAAGCGCACGTGAGTGAAAATCGAAAGAAATACCGCCCGATTAAGCGCATCGTCTAAAATTACGCGACGGAGAGGCTAGATGAGAAAAGTTAATTTTGGATCCTGATGAAATCATCAAATTAAGAGAGAAGCATTTTGGCTTATCGTCAGGATTCTGCATTAGCGTCTGATGTGGCCTCAAATATGGTTTCTGAAGCCATTCATGGAAGCAATCGAGAGATTCGGAGTCGAGAGACACCAATCCTAATATAATACATCTCTTTTGTGACGCACAACGCATTAGATACTTCAATTGACAATGGCAAAAATGAATTTCTTGGCAAGTCAATTTCTTTCTTCGTCATTTCTCGAGTTAACTTCCATTCGAAAGATTACGCGCCCTGTACCGTTCGACGTAGACTAACGCGGAGACGGTCACTTTGAATTTGAGTAAATCCCAGAAGAAATGAACTGAAGATTATAATAATAGAAACTGACACATCTACGCGCTCCTAACTTTATTCTACGTACTCAAGATCATGATATCCGCAAGCACCGTACTTTGTAACCGTGGATGCACATTTTTCCCTCTTATCGCTCGAGTGGCACTACGTGATATTGTAGGCAAAGTAACGATTCTTCGCGAAAAATTGTTTTATCTGTAAAAGGAGAGTCCTAGTCGCTGACCTCCGTCGCTTATCGGATCGGCGAACGATGTTAGAAAGCGCGTCCGTGAAAATAACGCCGAGGATAAGTAAATAAAGCCTATCAATGACGGCGGATAAATATACTAGGTAGGTAAATTCATAAAACTGCACACGTGTGGTGCAGTTTTCCAGAAAGCTCGAACCGACATTCGACGTAATACGAGATTAATATCAGATCTGTCGCCGCGAGATAAGATACATACTTTCGCTATTTCAGAGAATCGATACTGGAAAGTAGAAATTTATACCAGATGTTGACGATATGAGTGTCATAAATAATCGAACACCTTGTAGCACAAAGAATAGGACGTTTATCATTCTAGAAGTTGTTCTTTTCTTTTTCGATTTTATCGGCGTTCGGTGACAACAGCCATTGAACGCGCGATATTCACGCGATAAAATGGGAATTTCCATTATATATTTTGACGCGTCATAAATTGTAGTCTTATTAGCTAGCCATATTCAAGTGCATCAATAATTTTTAAATAATTAACGATTAAGCGCGACGAGATGTCCCGAGGTAAAATTAACTTCTCGATTTGTTCGGACTTGCCTTTCACTTTAGAGATTTTTATTGGTAGGTACTTTTACTGTGAATAATCTGCGCTGCTGAGATTAGCGATCTTATCTTCGGAAGTTTCTAAAAACAAAACTTTTCAAAGCAGCCATTGGCGATTTCCTAGCGGAAAACATGTCTATAAATAACTACAAAAAATTGACTTGAAATAGAAATTTGTAGAAATTTTTATATCTTCGTTGAAACATTAATTTCTTTTTTGTAAAAATATCTACGAAACAGTACAAGTTACAATGTTCTCAAATCAAGAAATTATTGCAAGTAGTATTTCATGAAAATGTACAATTTTGTAAAAATTAGTGAAAAACTTTACTAGTTTAAAAAATTTGTGAAACAACAAAATCTTAAAGAATTGAAACATCTGCTTCCTTGTAGAATATTACAAAAATTAACAAAAGTGTCCCAATTCTAGCATTTTCACGTTGGTTTTTATAACACTTTTTCAATTTACGTAAAATTTCTTAGATTCTGACGGTACATTTTATTCCTTTTGTAAAATTTTGTAGAATTATTTCCGGCAGGGTTGTTATTAATTGCTATCGTAACGGCCTCTGTGTAGAAGGGCGAAAGAAAAGAGGCTGAAGAAGGATGCTGGTAGGACGAGGTGGTCTCAATATTTTCGCAGTATGAAAGGCGGCGGCGCCGGCGGTCACTCGCCTAGACACGATAAGCTTCTCGACAAAGACGAGCTGAAGGTAGACTTGGACTCCACCTTTGGCCATCACGGTGAGTTGCATTATCGCATTATCATTTTGTCGATATAAATATAACGGCGGCAATAAAAAGAAGTAGCGAGAAAAGCTGAAAGAGAGATAGACGCCGCGCGATTCTTGTGCGTCGCAATTCATCTCAAGTACAATATAAATACCAGTCTACAGTGCATCTATAATGCATCGGTCTCTTCGACGTCTCTTCGAGTCTGAAATTGAACTTCTAGGCGAATTAACCCTAAGGCCCGGTTTCGCCAACGCAGTTTAACTTTAAGCTTAGCTAATTCGTTCTTTGTCAACTGTTACTTTAGAAAGAGACAAACGCGAATTAAACTAAGATTAAAGTTAAGCGACGCATGGTGAAATCCGGCCTTAGACGACAGACTTTTCCATGAATTTTTATGATTTATAATTTTCATATCATGGAGCCTAAAAAAATTAACTTAATATAAAAAAATAAAAAACTCGTATGGTCGAAGCGTCGTCTAACAATTCTTTTTACTAATATTGAGAAGTATTTATCTTCAAATGCGACAGCGCGATCTAAAAATATACCAATGCGAACTGGCGGCTATCGCCCGCGAGATTCGTCTCCCTCAAATAATGATGCGTCAAAATTATCCTAATAATCTCGCGCCAGTCGCCTCCGAAATAATCCAGACGAGCGGCGGATTATACGCGGTGCCCGTTTCCCGAGTAAGTGCAGGTAATAGCGAGCATAAATTCAAGGATGGCCCGCAATCTTCCTGAAATCTCGGACACGGTGAGCCGGCAGTTAGCCTCTGCGATCTCCTGAATATTTGAGGAGATCGTCCTCCCCTCGGATAGCAGGCATCTGGGTACTGGGAGACCCAGGCACAATGGATGCTGCCAGTCGCTGGCTTGACTTTCGACTTCCAACTTACGGCGCGTTAGAATCGCTCGTCAGGGCAGCACCCGACGCGTGACTGAGAGCAATCATTTTAGCCACGTCTACTTCTAATATCCCCGATTCACGTCGTCTCTAATTTATCCAGTCTCCCGGACTCCGTCCCGTCGTTAGAGCAAGGGAATCGTAGTCCGATGAGCGTTTCTTAACAAAGGGGTTCGCCGCGCTAGGCTGAAGCTTGAATCGATCTGTTCGCAGACCTCAGCAACGACAGCTACGGAACGGTGGTGAACATGGGCCTGGACGGCGAGGGCGCGAGTCCAGGCGGCGGCGGCAACGGAGTCGGGGGCGGACCGCCCCGCGGATACCTGGGCGCGACGACACCCCCGTATCTCTCAACGTCCAGATCGCCGTCCTTGCCACCCCAGTTCCCGTATCCGCCGGACGCCGGTCTCTCGGTATACACCACTCTCGGTAGGCCTCACGCCAAGATGCCCGACGGATGCACTCTTGAAAGATTGCGCTCTCTCGTCTCAGCCCTCCTCGACTACCCTGCGTCCTTTCCCAGCCTGCCGACGTTTCCCCAATCCTTTTATTCCCGAATCCTCGCAGCTTGCCCGGTTCTCCAACTTCGTCCACCCTCCTTCGATCGCGTCCAGAGAGAGCCTGACCTCTCTTCAACTCTCTTGACTCCCCGGACTGGCAATTTCCTCAGCTCCGGGCCTCGCCTCGCTCGCCGGTGGTCAATAATACACGCGGCTTGAGGCGGAAAGGGACCCGGACGCGTTAAACTATTCTAGCGCGAGAGTCGCAACTTTACGACTGACGCAAACCGTATGATTCCAGGGGGACCGGGCGGCATGGTGCCAGGACCAGCGTCGGATCTGAGTAACGAGTCGAGCGGAGGTGGCGGAGGCGGCGGAGGCGGCGGCGGCGGCGGCGGCGGAGGTGGCGGCGGCGGTGGCGGCGGTTACCCCGACTTCCCACCGTCGCCGGACTCCTGGCTCGGCGAACCGCCGCCCCCGCATGCTCACCATCACTCTCACTCCCATTCTCATTACGCCACATAACCCGCCAAAACCGCGCGTCGCCAAACGCCGTATAGAATAACGTGCTGGCGGAGCGGGGCGTTCACCTGAGATCGCCGACGCCGGTCCCGTCGTCGTCCTCGTCACCCACGGAGAAACCGAGGGGCGGCTTCCTCCTTCGATGACGTCTCTTCGAACGATACATTTGGCGAATTTAATACAGCGCTAACTCGATCAGGCCCGACCCGGATAGCACAGCGAATTCGCAAAGGGTCCTTCAGGTTTCCTTTCTGAATTGTAATTCTTCAGGAATTCGTTGATCGGGGAAGTTACATGTACTTCCATAATGAATTTCTGACGAATACTTCGAGACGAACTGGTCGTGGCTGATTCTCCAAGAATCCTTCAGATATTCGTGTTCTAATATTCCGTCGGTGCATACATTCTTTAGAATGAACACCAAGAATTATTTGACGCCAGTACATGACTAACAATAGTCACGCGTACAATCGACCATAACTGGCAACGTGTTTTTAACACGGAAAGTTTATCGCGAAAGATATTACCTCAGCGCAGGGTTTGAACCTGGACTTCCCTGCTTTTTAGGCGGGCGTCTCACCAATTCGACCAATTCCAGGTTCAAACCCTGGCTGAGGTAATATTTTTCGCATTAAATCTTCCGTGTTAAGAACACGTTGCCAGTTATGGTCGATTGTAAGCTTGATTATCTTTAAAGTGAACTTACGTTCACCCAGGGTTGAGAAAGTTGCTTCATAACAGTATCTAGTTACAGTTACAGTGTTTTTGCTAAAAATGTAACTAGTTACAGTTACGAGTTATCGATTCTGAAAAGTAATGCGTGATAGTTACAGTTTATTCGCGAAGCAACGAATCGTTACTTTGCAGTTACTTTCTTGCGATGAAAATTAAAATATCGAATCTGCATTTGAATTGTATAAAGCGTCGATAAAGGCATGTATACACAAATGCAAGGCCTAATACGATCTGTGTGGAGGTTTAAAATTATATATAAAGCAACTATTAATGTAACTGAGTTAAGTTACAGTTACAGACGAAGAGAAAGTAATAAAATTAAGTTAGAGTTGCCAGAAAAAGTAACTGTAACAGTAACTTTGTTACAAGTAACGAGTTACTTCCCAACCCTGCGTTCACCTTTGTGCTATCTGGGGATTCTATTAGACTGCGGGGAAGATCTAAAGTCTTTCATGCGTGCAAGATCTAAGAGCAAAAACGAAGAATGCGTTTGTTACACTCTAACATTTTCGAACATTTTTATACGGAATGTTTTGTGTGAAATAATTATATTGTGTAAACTTATATTATTTTTACTTTATAAACAAGTTTACGAATACAAATAATATATCAAGATATTTACATTTAGTTTGGAACAATGTAATTTATGGAATTTATAACAATTTACAATCGTAATTATTTCAATGATGTACCTAAGACTTGAATCGATAATGGGATGAGCGCTTTCTTCGCTCTTAGGTCTCTTACGCAATCGCTCGGTTGGCGCTGAAAGACAAGTTCGAGTCAACGACGAAACACCCGCTCGCCAAAGTTGCGGATAGACTGTAAAGCATTGCGAGGAAAAATCTCGAGAGGCTCATTCTCGACGAAGGGCGACGCGGTTCTCCTCAGCGGCGACAAATCGCGCGACGCTCGCGAACGTCTCGCACGGTCCAAATCCACAAGTTATTCTCCACGCGCCGGTATTTCACACCGTCCCTCCTCACGATCTTTCGTCATCCAAGCGGCCGTATCGGCGCCCACGCACACGTGGCACACGTACGACTCGCGCATTCGATACTACGGCTAATCTAAATATATTTATGTACAAGTTCCTCGTTTCTCGGAGTTTGATTGTCGAGTAATAATAGGAAGTAGTGTTAAACGTGCCCCGGACTGCTCGCGGATCCATTCGTCGTGCGTTAAACGTCTTCTAGTCTGTGTTTTGCAGAACGTGAGTGTAGAAATCGTGATTTTATAACAGAACCCGCGCACGTTTCGTTTCGATAAGGTACTCATGTACGGCAGATATTTGATACCACACCGAATAAATTTCGCATTGTCACGACGAATGTGGTCGCCCGTATGATCATACCACTGCCTCCAGGCCCGACTTTCATAGTGCAAGTTTTTGAAGAACGTCAGGGAACTTCGAGCCCGACGCAGAATTCACAAATTTCATATACAATTAAGCAAACTTCGAGAGGATCGATTAGAATCAAATTCTCCTGACGCGCAGCAAAAGTGCTATTTTCTGTGTCTCCCTTCTGTCTTTAAAATACAATAGATAATTTCGCGGAATATCGAGATAAAGTACTCTGTGTAATCTAAATTTTTACCGAGCTTATCTCGCCGATCCGCTTTATCGCGCAACTGGAAGAAGCGAGGAATGTTCCGCGACATCCGGTCAACATAAAATGGTTTTGATTCATCATCGTCGCTCGTGGCGAAGGCTTGAACTCTGAAAATCGGGCGTCGGGCATGCGTGTCGACGATTTATCTTGCTTGCGTGTGACGCTAGAATCTTGAAATGTGTATTGTAAATAGTACGAGTTAGACCTGTAGGAAAAGTTGGGCCAATCCAGGATATCCGATTTCAGTTGCTTCTCTATTACTTACGTTATTGGAACATAAAAGAGATCGAATCGTGTTAATTTAGCGACCAGTGATATAATTTATATTCGTGCTAGTCAAGTCCTTTCGAATTTGATATCACACAGATATTGCGCAGAAGCAACATCTTGTTTCAGAATCGAATAATGTGGATTGAAAACTTTTCTGTGCTAGTTGAAATTGCGTAAGAAGATGGACGTGGAAAAGTCTCAACGTGCACAGTGATGTTACGTTAATTCAATCGACGAATTTGCAAGCGCTCCTTCGGACACACGTCGGTCCAGTTTACTCCATTGTGGACACGCTTTAATTATCTTTATTATTATCCGATATACAAATTTCGAAATCTGAAAAGCGAGTGCAAAGTCGCCCACAACCTTTGAGCGGAGCTGCGCGATCCTGTACATTGTTATCGCTGGTTTTGCGCGCCGACCTGCGCGATCAAAATTGCTGTAATTTCAAACTGCACCTCGCTGCTAATTGACTACAAGGTCACGTAAGCCGTCGATTAGTGATAACTCGTATTATGTATACAGAGAAGAAATTGAAAAATCGTTCTCGAGCACTAAGTCACGAAATATGTCGATAATCAAAACAGGAGAGAGATAAGTCGAACGACTTGAATGTACGATAAATCCTAAGTGAAATGCACGCAATAGTAATACGAATCTCGTTTGGATTAATTGTCCTTTGTATCTCTGTCACATTAACATTCTCACAAGTTGCAATTAGAACATCTCGATTTTTCCTCTAGCATCATCATTTTTCTAATACTTTTATACGTCATATTCGCTCTACTAGGAACATTACAAGAAATAGGATTCAGATTTTCAAGAAACGTGACACACATATCTCAAAAGGGACTTACTTACTGACACTTTGCTATAAAAACATTTAAATGATTTTGCAACGTAGAGAATAAAATGGGACGCTGACAAGTGTCGATTAAACCAAACGCGTCTCATATTATTATCAAATGGCGTGCAACGCGGACCCGCAGCAGCGATAGAAGCGCAGAAACGTCACTGTAGAATTGTACATAATATATCTCGGTCCTATTCCCAGCCCTCTCCAGCCCCATCACGCTCCCCCCTGTCTTACATGCTCTCATATACGTTCTACCAACGGGTGGGATTATCGCGAACGGAAGGAAACGGTAAGAAAGGTATATTAGACTTATAAGAAAGATTAATGTTGTACAGTATTTCTCTCCGCTCTTCGCCGGATGTGCGGTCGAAGGAATTCGCGCGTCTGGCGCAGTTCGTACACTTCACATCACTATGAGTTATTACGGATCTTTATATTATTATCTAGTCATGGAGTGATAATAAAAATTCTATCATAATCTTAATCTCCGCCCCGTGCGCGCGGCTCTTTTTTTTTATATCTCTCTTCTCAAGAATCGCACGCGCGGCACGTTGCCGAGTGCGATTGGAATCGCAGAAACTGGAAGGCGCGGGACATCGATGGTGAAAACTGAAGAGGAGAACGAAACAGAAATTCGAGATGGACGCGATGTACGATCGTGTACATGCGTCTGTGATTAACGCACCAATTCTGCATATCAATGGCACTTTATTCGTGGTGATTATGTACAAATGCTACATAACGATATATGAGATAATTATATACACACATACGCGAATTTCTGTTATTCGTAAAGCAAAATACGTCAACAAACGAAGACAGACTTTAGTATCGGCGTTCGCGCCGTATTCAGCATTTGGAAGAAACCTTTTCACGGCGAAAGAAACGATCTACAAAAATGTCAAAAATATCATGCGCGTTCCCATATAAATATGTATATACAAATCTCGATGTACAAATCCATTTTAAGCTCTCTTTCGTCTCGTCCTTTTATATTTTCTCTTTGTTTTTAAATTGTGAAAAATAGTTTGTTCCGTGCCCGTACGAAAATATCTGTCGCTTAGAAATCGTTTAACGTTCAAAAATTTTGTAACACGTAATACCTAGTATTACAGTATTACTGAGTATTACAATTCTTTTTCGTGCCGGTATGTATCGTTCGCTCTCTCACCTCGGAAAAGTGTGAGAAGAGGCAAGTGAAAAAAAACGCAGATAAAACACGATACATTGAATGAACGATTAATCTATGAGAACACGATTCAACGAGTAACAACTTCCCTACGTTCTACCTGTTTTTCCACTCTTCGTGCATAATATTTTTTGATCGGTCAGTCAGTCTGTAATCTCTTCTTAATTGTCCAAAGATTCATCGTATGTCCTCGTCTTTTTGAGGATACTCCTTGTGACCATGAGTTGCTTTATTATCGCCTTTTCAACATTCTTCTTGTTCTTGTTTGAGGCTGATAAGTGCTCAAACGTATCCTCCAATGCTTTCCTCGTTTTCGTCAGTCTTCGCTTTAGTGCTTCATTCTCTTGTTTCAAAGCTTCCACCTCTTCAAGACCTGTAAAAGATAATTTGCAAAATTAGAATCACTTTGTCATTTTCAAGTGCATTTACAGGCAAGTGTTGAATAAGACTGATTGATCTTAAATTGAGACTATAGAATAAATTTTAAACAAAAGAGAGATACAACAGATTAACAATAAGTTCTTTTAAAGTATTTCAAAACGCACCTTCTATCGGTAATGGACTTTCACTGTTTGAGTCTTGAGTTCTGTGATTGCTGTCTTCGTCGCTCAGTAAGTTTGTCATAGATTCTGTGATCTTCAATGTGTCTTTCAAAGGTCTCACTGTGGTAACAGCAGCATCGCTTTCTATTCCCAAATCTGGCGAACAACTGGATTTACTGCGTCCTCCGAGTGCGGAGTAATTTGTCGTTTGCCAAAACTGCGAGCCCTATAATAAATTACAGAAATTTAAACTTGAATATTCACAGTCACAGAAGTTTGAGTCTTTTAAACGGAGGAGAGCGCGATATAAACTTATTACAAAATATGCTTAACTAATCATATAAATTGAACTCAAATTATGCAGTTATATAAATCTTTATGATAAAGTGATAAATGTAACAGCAATTTTTAATGTGCAACATTTAAATTAAATAAAGCGTGCATGCTGACTGTTTAGCGTCACATGCAATTATTAGGCTTATTGAAGTACTATAGTGTGATATGTCAATTATGTGTAATTCGCGACTCGCACTTGTTAAAAATGGACAATGCACTTGTCCAGTCTTAATACAATAATATGAAGCTTAGCAACAGACAGCTGCATTTAACGCTAGAAAACAGCGAACTAACGTTATAAGGTTGATATTCCCGCAGAATATCGCAAGTTTGCTTGAGCGTAGCGTCCGTAGGCATCGACGACACGCCGCTCGAGCTCGCCGTCGAATCGCTAGCCTCGCACACCGCCATGTGTCTCCTGAATTCTTTATTCGCAGTTTCAAGTTCTTGCACTCTCGCTCTATGCGACTCGTTGATCTGATTCAGATCGTATATCTGTACGGCGACGTCACATTACGTATTAGTAATGACACACCGGGGAACACCTTCACGAACTAACTCCAGCTCCGCTTACCTCTTTGCTGAATTTATCGTGCAGCGAACGAACGGCCGCGTCATATTGACCTTCCGTTTTCCTCACATCATGCTCAAGCCTCAACTTGTCGTTCGTCAGCTTGGTATTCTCCACGAGTATCTGGCTGTACGAGAGAGTGAGATGATCCAGTTCTTTTCTGAGAGTGGATATGGTTGCCTTGGCAGCCTCCGTTTCGTCCTCCAGCTGTTTAATTCTCGCACGCAACTGTAACGGATCACACAAATTTCACGTTTTCAAGTGTCTAATGTCTTGCGAGAATTTTTATAACCAGGGTAAAATAAAAGAGCAGCACTCACGGACTCGTTCTCTTTATTGAGTATTAAAAGTGTTTCCGTAGTCTTCCGCTCGGTATTTTCCTTATACTGCAAAAATTCAGCTTTCTGTTTGGTGATGTCGCTCGCCATTTGCTCGACATCGTTGATCTTCTTCTCCAATTGCGTCTTGCGAACGCTATTCTGCTTGCTCTCCTTTCTCAGTGTATGGAACTCGTGTATCCTCTTTTCCAAAGAGGCTTGTAACTTCTCACAAGACCTTTGTGACTTCTCCAACTTCGTAATGAACGGCATTAATTTCTCATCGATTACCTATAAATATAAATAAAATTCAGCTTTTGTGTAAATTCAATTATTTATAGATTCCTACATTAATGGAATTATGTTTATATAATTAATTTAATTTTTAATTAAAAGTTCATAGATAATTTAAGTTTTTGGAAAATTGTAAAATAATATCCATTCAACCATTAATAAGCATAACTGATGATCCCAAAATATACTTACGCAATCAAACGAAGCTCTTGCAATCAAGTCGTTCCTTAGGGCACTAAGTTCAGAATACAACATGTTGTTCGTTTCTTTCAACTCCTGTATTTGGTGACTCGCGTCCAGATCGCTAAAGTCGTTCTGAAAGGTCTTATAATAAGGCACATAATCCGCGGAATCCTCGGAGTCGCTGCAGGTCTTGGCGTACTTCGTGAATCTGGCGCGGTTCACGTTCTTGTATTGCTTCTCCTGCAGGCCGATTCTGGCCATGGAGACGGTCCGGTCGGGCTCCGAGAACGTCTCGGAGTCGGACTGCGACGCTTGACTCTTGGATATTTCCACCATGTTCTCGGACCGACTTCTTTTCACAGAACCGTCGATCCTGTCGTCGATCGCACCGTCTTGCATGCCTTCGAGAGCGCGCACAAAATCGTCCGACAGTATCTTGGAGCTGAGCAGAACGTCCAGCACGATCTTCTTGTGCTCGTTACCAATAGTGTCCGCGCGATCGGTATTCTTGAGCATCTCCTTCATGAACTTCACCAGGTCCTTGAGATGCGTGCGCAACAGCTCGCAGTACTTCTTCGCCCGCTCCGTCTCGTTGCCGCAGCCATCGATTTCCGCGGCGATGTCGGGCTTCGACACGAGCTTCAGCCACTTCAGATAATCCACTTCCTTTTCCAGATCGTTCCGCTGACTCGTCAGCCTCTGAAGGTTCTCACTTAACGTCTTCACGTCCACCGCTTCGTCACTGTTGACGTAACCGAGCCGGGCAATGTCGTTCGTGAAATTCACTTTAACACCGATCTCGGTCAGCTCGTGAACCAGATTCGCCAACTGAACGCTGCTATCGGCCTCCTGGACGATCTCAGGTTTATTGCGGTTCCTATCGTGGCTGTACGATGCTGTCATATGATTGTGCAGCTTGGCAATCTCCTTGTTCTTGCTCCAGAGTTCTGTGTTGATCAGCATCTGCAGATTCTGAGTCGTCACCTGCAGTTCCTTCGTCAGCTGTTCAATCTTGCGGTTCTTCTCCTCTACCTCAACATTTCGTTGATTCAACTGCTCGAGCAGATCTTCCATTCGCAAAGTATCATCGCGATAGTTGGTGGTGCTAACTTCGTCCACACTGTTCGCCTCGTCGACGTGCCTGAGCTTATCGAGCTCGGCGATTTTGTTTTGCAAATCTTCCGTAATGATCTGCTTCTCCATCTCCAGGACCTCAATCTTTTGCTCCTTATCGAGAAGACGAACTTGGAACTCCTATACAACAAGAAGTAACCTCATGTTTGATTTGTACAAAAATTAACTAGATAAAATAATTTGATTTTTTTAATTGTCTTATTTGAAAAACAGATGTACGAATAAAAATACAGTAATGTGAAAGATTAAAAATTAATTTAAAATTGCCATACTGTACAGATAATAATTAACGGAAAATTAGATATAAAAATTTGTCAAGAATTTATTTGAATAAACGATAAGATGTATATTACAGCAAGAATAAAAAATATTTTAAGTAATTATCACAATTACTATGAGAAAATACTACAAAACTATTATAATAAATTTATACATTGCTTTCTAAATACAAATATTTAACACTTCTTTAGATCAGTCTATTTGACGTTATTTTTTGTGTTCACCTCTTTCTGTTTTATATTTGCATAATTATGCAATTAGTGATGTCTCATGCTAGTTACATCTTATCAAAGAGAATATAAATCAATAGTTATGTAACGTCAAAGACAATATAAATCAAATATAAGTAATAATAAAGACAATACGATTAACGTACATATAATTCAATTGAAATGGTATGCCATTCACTTATTTATAAAATGAGTTATTTTATTATATACACAAATATATTAGAACTGTAAATTGTAACTCATGATATCGCAACAATGAATAAGAAATTATATTTACATTATGACATACCTTGAACTCGACTTGCGTTCGCTTTTCCAGGAGATTCTTCTCGGCTTTTATTGTCTCGATTTGGTCTCGTAGGTCGCTAATCTTGCTTTCCATTTCTTCGAAACGTTGCTGCAAGCATAAAGTATTGTTCCATATCAATAAAACTCAAAACAGTTGGATTCACTAGAAATGCTTTATTCAAAATATATATGTATAATTTTAATTACAATAAAATGTCAAAAATTCATGTACATACATAATGTAAGAAACGAGCCTTCGAGAAGTGTGATAAAGAAAAGAAAATGCAAAGACGTTACATGCAAGTTACACATTCTCATGCAGGGAAACAGTTACAATAATTTAACTTTTCAGTTTCTTAGACCAACATCGCGGCGGTACGAGTGTGACAATCGCCGGTTCCTAAAAGGAAAATACATTTCTTGTCATTTCTCCTGTTCCTTTGCCAAATAAATATGCCATTATGAGACTTATGTGATAAGAGAAGCTTTGAGAAAAATGGTTTCAACTGTACGGAAATATAACTTTCGCGTTGTCAATAGACAATTAACAGTAATACATTTTTACACACGAAAAGAAAAGTTTTTAAAATATGATTTAGCTTATTAAAGTAATATGGTCTTTTATCATTGTAGACATTTCGTCTTACGAAGTAAAACTTATTTAATTATTTTGTATTAGTTTCACAATTGTGTGCTAAATATCTCTCAATTATAAATTGTTACTATTTTAGTAAAAGAAATTACAATTTTTAATTCATGTCAAATCTGATTTCATGAACGCGAATAAAATGCTATGTAACGAGATATGTAAGTTTCAATAAGCAGAATACCTATATTTTTTTATTTCATTAAAATAAATTGCTCTTTCAATCGTAGATTGCTTTACATTTAGAGAATATATTTCTTTTTAACTCGAGATTATTAATCTAAAAAATTTCTATTCTTCATGCAGAAATAAAAATACTGGTGTTAATTGTAAGACAAATGAAATTATAGGACCAAATAATATAAAATTGCACATTCTAAAATGTTAAATAACTTCCGGACAAGCTTTCTAACTCGTCAAAAGTGTTTAATTAAAACCGTTTAACAGGTTTAACTCGACAGATTATTAACTTTATTGGCACTTTAACTTAAATTTTAATAAAATTTTCTAATTTTAATTTGTAAAGTGTGCGAGAACTCACTGCAGAGAGGAAATCAATGAAGCCTGGCTAAGTATGCTAAGCATCCTTTAATGAAGATACCAAGGAAAACGGCACTCACAATAACAACACCCAGTGCTATACCTACCTCCATCCGCACCGAGGCGCACAGACAAGAGAACATATTTAATTTGTTGTTGAACTTTTAACCAGGAAGCAGCAATAAAACCAGCGACCGATCAATCGACTCGCGAATACTCTACGTCAGTGCTAGCGCGATCAGCACTGGTGAATATCCGTTAGCATGAAGACTATGCCAATATTAGTTGCCTACGCATCTGGTTATAATTACTGGCTAACTTTGAATTGCTAGAGCTTCCATGGAGCGCAACTACCAACAAAATCTCTTCACTCTTTCATTTAAACGTTTTCAAAAGTATTGTATAATCTTTTCACAAATTTCTTGGCTATCCCTTTGTACTCTCAAGTTATTCGGCACGTAGAGCAAAGCAACAACTTCCTCCTGCTATGCTTGAGAGTTAGCAATCGCGCGCTATTTCCGGAGCGTACAGACGCGAGTCGTTCTCGTGATATCGTCGAGATAGCCTGGACGATCGGCGACGGATCTATCTCGTTGTTTGCTCGTGTTGTTGTATTCTTGTAATATTATTCGTTCGGCGCTACCGCGGCTGCGGCTGCTGATCGGTCGAGATGAGTATTCGTATGAGGACTGCCGCGTATCGCGATGCATAGACCGTAAGAAGTCGCGAGAAGAGGCGGCGGTCTCTATTAATAGACGACGGCCGCGTCTTCCCGCACGGTATTCCCGAGATACCAGACGACTCACGCTTTACGCCTCCAAAATCTTTCTCTGACCAGTGCAACGGACTCCTTGGGAAGCTTTATAATGTTGGCAGGAAATTGTAAAACGTAACAAACTTTTGTAAAACAACAGCCAGAGGAAATGAAGAAGTCTAGTAAGAGAAATATGAAAGGCACTGTATAACAGGAAGACATTAAGTAATAAGAAAAATTAAGAAAGCAATAGTTCAAGTAACGTTTTGTGGATATTTAATGCCTGGTAAAATTCTTTCCTTCATTTTGGATTCTAATTGTTTAATTCCCTATGCTGACATGTCTCTATTACTTTTACAAGGATTTTCTAGATAGCCTAAGATTAATATAATGCTCTTTTGTAATACATTTTGATAAAATTCAAATTTCTATATATGTATAAAATATAAACTCTGTAAAATTGTCCTTTCACATTTTTGTAAGATTTAAGAAAGTTTAGACAATTTAACTGAAAGAAATATATAAGCAGTTTGCTAAAATATTATATAAAAGTAAAATATTGAATAAAAATATGAAATTTTCTAATTTTATCTAGAATTTGATATACCATTTGAGTATCTTATATTTGAGTATAAAAAGAAGTTGAAATATTTAATAAATTAATAATAGAAAATTGTTTTATAGTAAAGAATATAAAGGATCTAACGGTCATTTTTATCCTCAATGCAGTGAACTCGTGTGAATATGTAAAATTCCATATGTCTCGGAAAAAGGTTTATAAAAGGACACCATAAAAGTCCTATTACTTATTATATTAATTAAATATTGTTAAAATGTGTTTTTAATTGTGTAATGCTGTCCGAAGAATTTTGAAATGTTGTTAACAAAAACTGTGTACTAGAAAAACAATTAACTTGAAAGTTAACTGTTAAATATTTCACCATTAATATTGTTCGAACAAACTATAAAATTGTACAAATTTTCAAGTACAATAAAGTACAAACACACAATCTGTCATAAATGTTCTAAATACAACCGTTGCAATATAAGTTGCAGTAAGCAATGTCCTAAAAAATACGTTGTTAAAATTTATCTAGTATAGCGCATGATTAAATCACATATTATAAAAAAATAATAGAAAATTTTCGTGTATAAGTAAACTATGAACAAAGTAGTCAAGAAATTTGACATAAAATATTACATAATAAATCTCTCATGCGTTGCAAGACAAACAGCTGTCAAGTGAGATAGTTTAAAACGACAATAGTCAGGCAATCATAATGATGGCATACAGCAGAAAAGGATAAGCAGAAGTTAGATGAATTTAGCGATTCTGAAAGAGAGAAACTTTCGAAATATGCCAAGCTGCTGAATCATGCTTCTCGGTAGTCAAAGCGTGTCTCCACGTTTTAGAATTTGAGATTATATTTAAAAATATGGATCAAACAATCTCCCGATAGTTAAAAAATCCAATTGTCAAATGTAACAATTCTGAAACGTAGAGATCGACAAACAAGATCAGAGATGAGTCGCAATATTGACCTGTTTGCAGGAATCGTTTTCAATATCGTCCGCGTTCTTAACGCCGAGATCCTTCAACGAGACGAGACCGTGGCTGTTTCTTCTCTTGCGTAATTCCATCTCCGGCTCGACGACCTGCCGCTCTTTGTGAGACTCCGCATCTCGCATTTGTTGCTCGCGCTCCATGAAGCCCTGTATCGCTCTAATGGCTTTGTGGTGCTCGACTTCCATCTTTTTCAATTTTTGCTCGGAACTTTCCGCTTGCTTCTGGACATTGCACAATTTTAATATCAACTGCTTTCTCATATCTTCGTGTTGTTTTAATTTATTGTCCCTTTCTTCCAGTTCCTGCAATTCAATTGTTTTTAATAAGACCCAATTTTATGGCAGAACCATAGACATAGTAAGAATAGACTGCGCGTTTCCTATCTCTCCCGTGTTGAGAACATGTATAAACTTTAGAACGAGATAGCTGAAAGTTGAGCGGTCGCCATGTTTATCTAATAACAATGGAGATAACAAAAGAGTAAGGGGAATGAAAGAGAGCGACCACTCAAAGTATATGTTGTCTCGTTCTAAAGTTTGCACACTTCTTCAGCCAAACGCGCAGTCTATATATTATACGTCTATGGGCAGAACAGGAAACAGATGTTTTACTAACCTTTATAAGATGCCTGATTTCCTTGGAATCTCCACCTAACGGTGAGCTCAAACTCATTCCTCTTTCTTTATTCGATTTACAATCGTAGGAGCCATCATGCCTCGCTGTACTTTGAACGTAAGATACTTTCTGCCCCGTAGACAGCGATAGATAATCGTTTGTCAACGAAATTAAAGCCGAGGGACTACTGGGCGGCGAGCGCTTGCCATAATTGTTTTCGCACTACAAAGTACAATAAATATAATTATAAAGTACAACAGATATAGATAAATAGAGGAACCCAAGCAAAAACATGTGACAGAACTTTTAGTACACAGGTAAGTTTGAGACTTCTGTAGCTGTACTATCATTACATACTTTTCATTAAAAGCGCTTATTCTAAAACTAGATTTATTGCGTGTGTTATCAGTAATGTCAAAAAATAGAATATTTAATATCAAGAAGAAAATAGCAAAGCCCGATTACGATTGTAAGTTGTAAATAAATTACAGTGAATCATAAAACGACCAATGCCCGCCTCAAAATTTAAGAAATTTTCTTAGTACTAAGATGCAAAATAATGATCAGAATCTTGTGCTGTCTTACTTCAAGAAAGAAAGATCGATTTAATTCACCTGTGATAATAACGCACGATGCTTATTATTGATCTCCGTGAGGGCATCGTCGCGCGTTTTTATGGATCCCCTCAACTGAATAATCTGCTTCTTCCTTTTCTCGGACACCTGGCTGACCTCCTCGTACGCCTGACACTTTTCCTCCAACAATGCGCTCTTCTGCTTGAGCAATCTGTCCCGTTCGGCGAGATCGTTTTTGTATTGTTGCATGGCGGAATCCTTCTTGAGCAGTTGGTCCTTCAGCTCTTTCACTTCATTGCTCAGTTCCTCAATACTTTGCACTCGATCGCTGTCCTGCTTCTCCCGCAGCTGCGTTTCCATGTCTAATCGCTCTCTGAACTGATCCCTCTCGTTCTCAAGTTCCTGCGCCCAATTGCGCTCCTCTTCCAAACTGCCGGTTATCTGTTTCACCTAAAACGTGTAGCGAAAATTACATATAAATACCGCACAATCTTTCTTCCTCCTGCTCGCACGTGTCACTTTCTTTTTATAGATGTTATACGATTGTTAAGCAAAAAGCAAATTCGTATCGCATTCCCAAAAGACATGGAAAGAAATGTTTAATTCGTACTAGCTGCTTTCTTTAATACGCCTTGATTCTTTCCTCCCATACAGGGTTATAAATATTCTTATATTTAATAGAATCTATTAACAACGTTGATCGTTATAGGTTCATTTATATAAGGTTCATTCTATATGAGCTTACCTCTGTTTCAAGGGAAGCCATCAATTCTTCCATTTGTCGCAACTTTTCCGCGTTTTTCAACGCTTGTTCCGGAGTGATGCCAAATGTTTCCTTATAATACGTGGACGTATCCAATTCCCTTTCTCGATACTCTGCTAATTCTGTAATAACGAAAAGAATCTATGTGATAGATCATAGCAGTAACAAGATTTACTGGAATAAATAAAATTTTTATTGCATTCGAAAATAAATTTAAATGTCTGCACAATAATCATGCAACAGACAAAACGAGTTCACTCACCTCTTTCAAGCTTGGTTACTTTTTCTCGCTCCTTTTCAAGCGATTGCTGATATTGATCTTGAGTACGGGAAGTCGCTGCTTTCTGTTCCTCATACAATTTGAAAGCTTTAGCTGCCTGATTAAGAAGGACCTGCTTCTCCATCAATTCCTTCCTCAATTTCTCCAACTCTTCCTGAAGTTAGTGATTAGTCAATAACACAATAAAATCATAATAATTAATATAGACTTACAGGTTTTATGTAATACATGATTATATTCTTCATAATATCTTTCAAAAAGTCGCGTCCAAAGGGAAGAATTTACAACGATAAAAGTAAGTTAGAGGAATCAATACGAAGCAAGTTATAATACTGACAATGTCATAAAAACAAATACGGACAAAAATAGCACACGGCGAGATTAAACGGAAACCTACTCAAACATACTTGGCAAATATTTTGAGTCTCTTTCACGAAACAAAACGAAAATGCGAAAACAACTGCACGAGAAAATTTTATTCTACATATACAATTAATTCTTTCGAAAATAATTGTTCTCCTTTCGATCGCCGTGTAGAAACATTTTTATTTTTTTATTAGATTGCATGTTAATCAACCTTTAAATCTACGCTCGTTTTGATTACATCCTCGTCGGAGAAGCTGCCGTTCCTTGCAGGCTTCCCCTCTTCCAGGAGATAGATTCGCAGCTTGAGCTGAAAGTTCTCCTTCTTCAGGCTGCTCAACTCGTCCTCGTACTCCTTCATGGTTCTGCCGTAGCCAACTCCACCTCCTCCGCCTCCCCCGCCATCTCCTGATCGCGCCATCGTCGCTCCGTCTTTGTCTCCGGAGGAATTCTCACCATATGCTCTTGTGTTTCCACCTGAAACAGATATTTTCTTCAGGATAAATTCGTAAAACGTACGCGAACAACGTACGTATATTAAAAAGAGACAGCGCGAACTTTACAACCATTAAATTAGTAAATTATTAAATTGGAAAACATTCTTCTGTGGATATAAATAATACTCTTTGCTCACACGTCTATATTTAATTGATATTTCATTTAATTTCTTATCGTATATTTATATAAAGAAATAAGTTTTTTGGAAATGGTAAGTCGCCAGTGATAAAAGAAATACAGTACTGTAGTTATATAAATAAAATTACTATTTAATAAAATGTGCCGCTGACGTAGTTCCTGACGTTACAAACGACATTCATCAAACGATTAAATTGTAAATTATTTATATAACAGTGTTTACGTGATGATTGTTAACATCTGTTGCTTCACTTATTCCTCCAACACGTTAAATTGCACCGGCAGTGCGCGGTTTTCACACGCGGCACCTTAAAAAGAGAGCAATGCGATGATACCGCGCGCAAAGCCGGCGCGGATAATCGTAGGTTCAAGCCTGCAAGCTCAATTTTCTATCTGTCATCCGAATAATCACGTGCCCAGCTCTAACCGCATTATTTCCGACACGTGCCGATGGGATCCGTATATGAAATTTTGAGTAACCACGATATGCCACATGTACCCCATTAAACCCGAAATTAATCATCTTGAAATACTCGATTTTCCTCGCTCGATGTCGCGGATAAAACGATACAAATAAAAGAGCATCATTCAACGCACTTTCAACGCCTACGTTCTTACGAGAGATATTCCCTAAAAAGTACTGTAATACACGGGGAGAATTTTTTCTTAAAATTTATCCTGAAAATCGTGTGGGACAACGTGGCATTTCGAAGAATTTTATGACTTTTTAAATTTTACCATACTCACTAAAAGTCAATCAGTGGATTATCACTGAAAACAGTGATTATTCACTAATTCACAGTTACAAGTATAGCACTGAACAATTCAGTTAGAAGTTTTCTGCGATAACGCACTGATTGACTTTTAGAGAGTATTTCACTAATACACTCACCCGCAAAAAAAATGGGCCACCACATTTTAGCCCAATTTTTCAACATTTTTCAATAGCGATAACTCGGCGAAAAATCATCGTAGACAAATGATTAAAAAAGCATTTTGAAGCTTGAAGTTTCAACTTTGAAATGCTGTCAACAATTCTTTAAAATTCGTTTATCTTCCTTGTTCTATGCTTTAAAAAAGAACACATTGTTTTTTTTCTTAGAATTACGTATTTTTGACGCTCTGTGGCTGGATAAAAAAATTTGTCTCGAAAATACCATCTTAAATTTCATAAACTACAACTCTTTGCCTACAAAACGCTTTTTTAAAAATTGTCCTACGATGTTTTCTGACCGAGATATATGATTTTGAAGCTAAACCTGTACTTTTTAGAAATGTTGTCGATACTCAGCAAAAACTAATCGTAGACAAATGATTAAAAAAGCGTTTTGTAGCCAAGAAGTTGTAGTTTATGGAATTTGAGATGATATTGTCGAGAGAAATTTTTTTTATCCAACTACAAAGCATCAAAAATACGTAATTTTAAGGAAAAAACAATGTGTTCTTTTTTTATAGCAGCGAACAAGGAAAATAAAGGAATTTTAAAAGGACATCTAGAGTTGGACATCTAGAGTCACGTTAAAGTTGAAACGTCAAGCTTCAAAATGCTTTTTTAATCATTTGTCTACGATGAGTTTTCGCCGAGTATCTA